GCGAGTCTGACCCTGCGCGCTGAGCGCGACGCGACCCGGTGCGCCCGAGGCGACGTGAAGGAGGTGAGCGGGCGCCGGCTGCGGGCCCCGGTTGCGGGGCGCCGGAGGGGAGGAGGTTGCCCGCACGGAGGAGCCCGGCGTCCGGCCGGGGGCGCCACCCGGGAGCGCTGGGGGCTGCGTCCGGAGGGATCCCGGGAGGAGGAGGCAGCCGGAAGGTGAGCGGCCCCGCTCGCAGGTAGCCGGCCCTAAACCCATCTCGCAGGGATGCGGCGCCGGACAGGGAAGCCCTTCCCCCGCCTCTCGCAGCGCCCCGCGGCCCCGGGCCTGGCCCACGCCCTGCCACCGTTTCGCCGCCTTTCTCCCGCGATCGCTGCTTATCTTGGGGGGAGGGTATGAATAAGGACCCGGAGGGACCATTGGGATCCAGAGGGTACCTGTCGGGACCACTGCGCAGCCTGCGACGCCGCCGCCACCTCCCCCCCCCCCCCCACACACACACGCTCAGCCCCGCTGGGGCGCAGAATTGGAGAGGGGCGTCCGTACTGCGGGCTTGTGGGGTGCAGAGGCTGTGGCTCCCGGAGGGGAGCGCCTTTGGCTTGCAGAAGGCTCAGGGAATGATGCATTCCGAGTGGAGGGGGGACTGCAGACCCACCTCTCCCGTGTACCCAGGCCGCCGCTGGCACCCCCACCTCCGGGTGCTCAGCTGGGCACTGCGGAATAAAGAGTCGCCAGGCTGCTGCGGAGGCAGCCCGGGTGCGGGGGGAGGGGCTGGCACTGCCAGGCTGAGTGTAGCCAGCCTCCCTCTTCCTGTCTACCCACCTGGGGGTGGTTCTTAGCAGCCTGGCCTGGAGGGGAGAGGGCATCGATGGGCCCAGCCCATAGCAGGTTATCATGTTCTGGGAGAATCTGCCTTCTGGCTGCTGCTGGGAGCAGTCGGCCTGGGCTGCAGTGATGGAGGGGGGAATGGGTGCTGGGGACGCCGGTGGCAGGATCTGGTCTGGCATCTGCAGTGTTCCTGTTGTGCAGCGTGGGGTGCGGGGCAGGGGGGGGGTGCTGCAGGCCAGGGGAGCAGTGTTCTCCCTGCTCTGGGCCCCAGACCTTGCCCCCAGGGCAGCCCTGGGCTGTGAGCAGCATCAGCGCCCCTCCCTGCTCCGAGGACAGATGTCCCCTGCCTTCCCTGAGATGGCTAATGAGCATCGGCCAAGGACAGGCTGCATCCTGAGGTCGCGGCCATCGTGGGGCTGGGAGAGTTGCTGGGCAGATTCTCATCCCTGCTGCCCTTAGCCCCAGGGAAGCTCCTGGCCCCCGTGGCTGCCTCCAGGAACAGTAAGCTCCATGCACCGAGATGCAGGAAGATGCTGGAGCCACCCTGTGCTCCAGCACCCTTCCAGCATCATTTCTCCTCAGGCGGAGGCTACCTTTAGGATCCAGAAGTTTATCCTGGTCAGAGGGCCCGGCAGCTAGAGGGAATCCAGGTTATGTTTCCAAGATGTGAAGCTCAGAGGGAAAGGAGAGGAGGGGGCCGAACCCACAGTGAAGAAACATGCGTGGTCAGACTGACTGGGCAGGGATGCAGGAGGAGGCACTGCTCTGGGACAGTTCTGCCTGGGCAGGAACGGGGAGGTGCTTTGGGCTGGTCCAGGTGGGAAACCTGGGGGGTGGTGACCAAGAGCAGCCTGGGCAGGCCTGTGTGCACTCTGGGGACAAGCCCTGCAGATCAGCGAGGCCAGCACACGCCAGGCAGGAGCCTAGGAAGCCCGGCATTGCAGGGTCAGTCCCCACCTGCCTTTCCTAGGCCCCACATGCCAAGCCTCCCATCCCAGGCCACCCCAAGACCCCTGGGTGCCAAGAGGGCAGAGCCCCCCGCACCTCTAGTCCCTAGCCCCCCCCCCCCCCCGGGGCTGGCCAGGGCAGTGAAGCCAGCTTGAGTCCTGTCCTAGCCACCCTGGGTGCTGAGAGGGGAGCAGGGGTGTGAGCATGTGGATGAGCATAGGTGGGGGTGGCGTGAGCCAGCCTGCTGGGAGCACTGGAGCCCTGCCTCTGGAGGTCTCGGTGTGACCTTTCCACCCCTGGGTCATAACAAGCTGGACATCTCAGGTCCCTCCACGCTGGCTTTTCCTGAGAGCCTGCCTGTCTGTGCCAGGCACCACTCCTCTGAGGAAAGCCACAGTGCCATCCTCACAGTCTTGATAGCCTAGCCACCTATGCAGGTAGTGAGCTCCCAGTCACTAGATGCCGAGCAGAAGGCACCGTGGTGAGGGTGCTGGCAGCTGGGTCTCTTGGTCATGCATGTACTCAGGGACATGTGTGTGCTCGCGGAGGCCCTGGGAGCGACAGTGTCAAGTCGTGGGGCTGGCATGGGGGTTGGGTGTCCTGGGACCTAGAGCAAATGGGCATGACATGCAGAGGGTGAGGACACCTATGTCCAGTGACCACATGTGTGTGCACACACATTTGCGTGTGAGTAACTATACATGGCAGGCAGGGGTGAGGTGCATTGTGGGAAAGGGGTAAGCACAGCTCTGTGGGTGGTCAGTGTGCAAAGGGGTATGTCCCACAGGCATAGCAGGGTACACCCCGCACAGCAGCCAGGCTGCACCCAGCCAGGACAGGGAGGGTCTCCTGCCTCAGGACTGGGAACAGCCTCTGGTGGGGGGTGGGCTGTGCCTCTCTCCCTCCACACCCAGCCTCCAGAGCAGGAGGTGGTCAGGGCTCTCCCCCTCAGTTCCCAGGAATGGGATCTGGGCTGAGACTGGGGTAGGTCCTTGAAAGCAGAGAGGCCAAAGACCCTACAATAGCTCTTTCCTCTTTACCCACCTGTTCTGAGAATTCCCACCCGATCCCCACTCTGTGCCCAGAGCTCAGCCCATCCACACAGCCCAAGAGGGAGAGGTAAGCCTTAGGTCCAAGGAGGCCCGTGAGTGAGGGTGCGCTCCCAAGAGGCCAGCTCCGAGCAAGGGGTCTCCTGCAGGAAGGGTTCAGGCCAGACCCAACCCCCGTGCCAGCCCCCCAACTTGACACCGTCGCTCCCAGGGCCTTCGTGAGCACACACGTCCCTGAGTGCATGCATGACCAGGATACCCAGCTGCCAGCACCCTCACCGCTGTGCCTTCTGCTCGGCATCTAGTGCCGGGGGAGCTCACAACCCGGCCATTCAGAGCCTGTGCAGGGTGGAGAGGGGAGGGGCCTCATGGGCCCTGGTGGGGGGTGGTCCCAGGCCCCAGGTTCTGGGCACCTTCAAAGGTGGGGAGGAGGAGCAAGCGAGGAGGGGGAACTGCCGCTCTACAGAGCCAGCCTGCTCAGTGGCTGCTGAGGCAGGAGGAGCGGTTGCCTGGCACCTCTGCTGTTGCCATGGTGACAACGGAGGTGCTAACTGACTAATGAGTCCCCCTTGGCTGCAAATAACAATACTGTAGTGGTTAATAGGGCCTCGCTGGCAGATACTGGCGAGGCAGGGGGGGGGAACCAGGTAGGGCCTGGGGCCAGGCTGCCCACCCCCCTGCAGCCCCAGCGGCATCGCCCCTCCCCTCTCTGGTCTTCACCTCGCCTCACCCCCTCCCTGCCTCCCTCCAGCCCGGATTCACACCCTGCTGGTTTGAGGGGCAGTTAAAGACCCTCCACTCTCCCAGCCCCTCCTCCTCCCCGTGCTAGAGTTCAATTTGGCTCTTGAAGTTTTAGGTGGGAAGTGACTGCCCCACCCACCTGATGAGGACATGGAGGCAAGTGTCAGGTGCAGGACCCCCTGGCCCACAGTGCCCCCCCCCCCAACTGTGTCCCTCTCAGGGTCCTGGGCCTCTGAGCTGGGCTCTTGGTTCCATGTCACAGAGCAGGAGGCTCTGCTGAGCCTGCAAGAGAGGGTGTAGGAGGCCTGGTGGCTGTGGCCGGTCTCAGCCTTGAAGAGGTGCAGATTAGAACTCAGAAGCTTTCCAAACTGCTCGTGAAGGAATCACATAACCACCCCACCCCCCAAGCTGGGCGGGGATGTGGTGGAGGGAAGAACTGATGGAATGAGACCTGCGTTCTGTCCAGTCTCCTTGGTGTGACCTTGGGCTGGTCCCACCCCTTTCCCGAGCCTCAGTTTCCCATATTAAAGCAAAGGCAGGCCTGGCAGGTGGGGTGGGGTGGCAGAGATTGGCACTGAGCCCCAGGAGTTCTCCAGTCTCCTTAACCTCCTCCTCCCTCCATTCACCCCTCAGCCCGAGGGCCTTTGGGACATGCTGAGGATCCCAGATAGGGATCACTCATGATGACCTTTATCCTTGGGTTGTCCCCACCCCCAATCCTGGGATCTACCAGCCCTTAGAAGGTGCTCCCAGACCCCAGGCCCCCACTGTACGAGAGCACCTGCTGTCACCACCCCCTTTTTGTGAGCATGAGACACACCCTGCAGAGAAGGATGCTGGCTGCAGATGCTGGGAGGCGAGCGCTGCGAGCTCCAGGCCTGGGGTGCAGACCTGGGCAGGCTGTGGCAGGGTGGCTCTGCCCACCCCACTGCAGCCCCAGCGGCATCGCCCCTCCCCTCTCTGGTCTTCACCTCGCCTCACCCCCTCCCTGCCTCCCCCCGAGCCCAGCAACTTGCGGAGGCAGCTCTTACCCCATCCTCCACCCCTTTCTGGATTATCAGCTTATGGAGCGATTGGGTCACTGGGATCAGAGAGGAATGGTGTGCCGCCTGGGGGGAGGGGACTCGGTGAAGATGTGGGGTCCAGAGAGGGGAGGAGAGGTAACAGAAACCCAAGGGGTGTGCCAGCACACTGTCAGAGCTAGCAGGGGGGTGCCGATCCCCCTCCCTCCCCAGAGGAAGGCTGTGGGTGCAGGCTCCCGCCTCCTGGGTGCTGGGGTCTCACACTGGCCTCTCCAAGGCTGCTGCTGACTGGCCACCTCTCCCTGTAGGTCTGGTACCATGCCCGGTCACTCCGAACCCTAGGCCACACCTGGGCCATCGGAGCAGCCCCTGCTCACTTCAGGGGACACCTCCTCCCCACTGCCCACTGCCTGCCATGGCCGGGGACCGGTTCCCCAGGAAGGTGATGGATGCCAGGAAGCTGGCCAGCCTGCTGCGGGGCGGGCCTGGTGGGCCCCTGGTCATCGACAGCCGCTCCTTCGTGGAGTACAACCGCTGGCACGTGCTCAGCTCCGTCAACATCTGCTGCTCCAAGCTGGTGAAGCGGCGGCTGCAGCAGGGCAAGGTGACCATCGCAGAGCTCATCCAGCCCGCCGTGCGCAGCCAGGTACCAGCGCGTCCAGTCCCGCTGCCCGCCTACCTGCCGGCTCCCGCCACCCCAGGTGCAAAGCTGAGCTCCTCAGCCAAGTGCACAGGCCATGTCTGGGGCAGCTGCCCCCTCCCTGCCCTTGAACTCACATCAGGTTCCTCAGAGTCAAAATGCTCAGAGCCACCCACTGCCGGGCTGCTGTGGGCAGCTCCCCTGCTTCTGCAGCTTCATCCCCAGGGTGGCTCTCCCTGACCCCATCGCCCCTGCCTACCCTCCCAGAGCCTTCCACCCAGTCTGTGTCCTCACTCAGCCCCGCACGGAGCTTTTCACACAAACCAGACAAGGCCACATCCCAGGGGCCCAGCATGGGCCCAGAAGGGGTGTGAGTGGATGAGCGAGATGGGGCCCAGGTGGCAAGGGGCAGTGGACCAGGATGGCAGCTGGGTCAGGTGGCTGGGAGGACTCAGAGGAGGATGGGGCGTGGCCCATGGGGCTTATAATGACCAGTCTTCAGCCCCAGCCACGCCCACCTCCATTCTTTCCCCTTTGAGTCCTCAGTGACCCAGAATTATCTCCATGACTCCCAAGAATGTCGATTTACCTGCAATGGACAGTCCTGTCTCTGCTCCCAGTAGCATCAAGCCCAGCTGGGGAGGGACAGACAACAGGGCCACTGGTCTGGGAAGGCAGAGGGACTTCTCATGAGGGTGGGGGTGACATGCCATCAGCCTTGGAAGCTTTGGGGAGCTTTCGGTCACAGGCCTTGCCCCTTGCAGAGCAGGTTGTGAGAGGACCCAGGTGAGAGTCCCTACCGCAGGGGCCGACTCAGATGGACTCCTTGTGGCCTCAATGAGGGGAATCCGGCCATTAATCACCCCCAGCGAGGACTCCCTGCCAGAGTGCAACCCCATTGGCTGCCGGTGACATCATTGAGCTGGGGCTGGCAGCTCTGCTGGCTTAAGGCTGATGCTTGGGTGGCCAGGGGCATCAGCCTCTCTCTAAGCAAAAGCGGCTGAACATCTGGCGCCAGGCTGGGCACTGGGAGAGGGAGGAGGGCAGGTGGAGCCTAGCCTCCAGCTGCTGCCTCCAGAATTGGGGTCTTTTACTGCAGCCCTGTCTCCCCCTAGCTGGCTGGCTGGGGGTGCAGGGAGAGGAGAGCCAGACCCAAAGGTGCCCTGCCTTCAAATCCCCAAAATGTGCCTCCCAGGGACTCTGAGGGTGGTTCCTCTCATCTTGGCCAACGTGGGGGCCAGCCCAGGCCTGGCTGTGCCATCCTGTCACTGTGAGCCCTGCATGTATGCCTGCTGGGGACCTGCCACAGCCTCCGGTTGTCTCTTCCGAGTGGGTCTGGCCCACAACCTCCCGACACCCATAGTGTTTGTTCCCTTCACTCTTTTTTTTTTTTTTTTTTTTAATATACTTTATTGATTTTTCACAGAGAGGAAGAGAGAGGGATAGAGAGTTAGAAACATCAATGAGAGAGAATCATCAATCAGTTGCCTCTTACACACCCCTACTGGGGATGTGCTCGCAACCAAGGTACATGCCCTTGACCAGAATTGAACCCGGGACCTTTCAGTCCGCAGGCCGACGCTCTATCCACTGAGCCAAACCGGTCCCAGCTGTTCCCTTCACTCTTGTATTGCATGGGGACCAGTGTCCCTGTCTGCCTGCTCTAAGGGCCTGCCTGTGTGGCCATGGTGTTTACACCTGTTCAGGTATACAGTGGGTGGTCGGGTGCCTGCCCTTCCCTCAAGGCAGCAAGGTGGCAGCAGACCCTCCCTCCTATCACTGGAGACCCTTCCTGCTGGTCCCTTGACCTCTGCCCTCTGCTCATGGCCCCAGGCAGAGGCTGAGGAGCCACAGGACGTAGTTGTCTATGACCAGAGCACCCGGGATGCCAGCGTGCTGGCTGCAGACAGCTTCCTCTCCATCCTGCTCAGCAAGCTGGACGGCTGCTTCGACAGTGTGGCCATTCTCACAGGTGAGCTCCCAGGCCTGGGGGTGAGGGGGTGCAGGACACCTCTCCCTTGGCCTCTCCCACCTTATCTACTTGTCTGAGGGGTGGGAGGGGGGCAGGGGCATCCAGGAGTCGGGGTTCCAGATGAATCCACTCCATTTTTCTCTCTAATCTCAGAGATCAGCAATAGCTGGGGCAGTGGTTCTGTAGTTCTGTAGTTCTTGGGGCCCCACTGTCCCCTCCCGTGGGCCCCCACACTTTGGGGACCCCTGCACTAGCAGGTGAAGAGGTGAACAGAAGGAAAGGGGAGATGGGGAGACATCTAGGCAAAGATGTGGGTGGCTCAGCTGGTAGTCTCTTCCTCCCTCTTCCCCCCCGCCCTCCAGCAACTAACCCAAGGATGGGTCATAGGCCTCAATCTCTAGAAACCCAGTCTGAGCAGAACTGGTCCCCCAGAACTGGTCCTCCTGTCTACAGCCCCTGCAGCATGCCCTCTGCCTGAGAGGGTCTTGGGGTTAGGCGCACTGGGGTGCGAGAATAGGCTGCTGTGACCCCAGTTTGCCATCCCCACCCCACCCCCACCCCACTGGGCTGTGAAGTTGGTTGTGGGGTGGGGGAGGGAGCCTAGCCCTTTAAGCAGCCCGGAGGGCCACTTCTGCGGAATGCGAGCGGGGGATGCCACCCCTCCACCCCCCCTTGCACACGGCACCCTCAGACCCTGACTAAAGACACAGGCAGGAGCAGCCCCCATGCGAAGGGTGGGTAGGGACCCCACCTGGGAGGGCAGTGGGGGGTGGCCTGGGGGCTGGAGCACTGGTGGGCGGAGTCCTGGCACTTTGTACATGTCCAGGATTGCATTGTGAGGGCGAGACCAGCTGTAGCCCCTCAGCCTGCCACCGAGCTGTGGGAGCAGGGTTGGCTGGGAAGGAGGGGTCCCTCCTGCAGGAAGTGGCTGCCAAGGGGGGCCCTGCCAGATAGGGGCGCCTTCCCACATTTGGGAGTGCGGGGACCTGTGAAGGGTCCGGGTCAGCCACCACTGCTTCACTCCCCAGAGCCTGGGCATCCCTGACCTAGCATCTAGGGGGTTCATAGGGGATAACCCAAGCCAGTTGGCTTTAGCCAGGTGGGTCATGGGGGCCGTACCTGAAGAATTGCAGCAGACTGGCAGGCTGTGCACTGTGCAGACTGGCAGGCTGTGCACTTTCCTTGGGGAGGACGCTCCTGGTGGAGCGTCCCACCCCCTCACCCCCGCCTTGGACCAAGGGTCCCCTAGCTCTGGGTGATGAGCAGGAGCCGACTCCAAGGACCCAGCTTGGCCTCCTCTCCTGGGAACCTGGGAATTCCAAGGCTGGCGCCCACACTTCCTAGCCTGGAGGTCCCCCATGCCTCCCAAAGTCATGCCTCTTCATTGAGGTCACAGGGGCACTCAGGCTGGGGATTGCACAGACAACTCTGAGCTGGGCCAGGGTGAAGGCTGAGGCCGCCAGGTGTCTCTGTCCTTGGGATCAGCCAGATCTTCTGCAGACCAGGGCAGGAGACCACACCTCACACTGCTGCCTCTCCAGCCAGGGAGGGTAGGCCTCGGCCCCATTGTCTCACTGGATGGACTGGTCCACTGAGGCCAGAAACAGCAGCCTGCTGGGTGGGGAGCAGTGTAGGGGCCACGGGGCTTGTGTATCCAGAAGTGTGGTCTGCCCCAGGGTGCCACCTGGCAGGCCCTGCTCATTCTATGAGAGCTGGTGGCCACTGGGCACCCAGCCAGGCTGGTATGAGAAGTCCATTCTCAGTGTGTGGTTGCCATCGTTTTCTGTGTGGTGCATAGGACCATAGCGTGTGGTGCCTAGGACGAAGAACAGCTCTGCCGAGGTCACGCCCTGGGTCAGGGTTCCCCAGGGAAGAAGCTCACCAGGTCATTCTGGCCAGTGGTGGGCTCCCTTCTCTGGCCCTGGGCCCAGGACTCGGACGTGCTGTGCAGGATTGTAGCAGTGCATGTGCCAGCCAACGTGGTCTGTGTGCCCGTGCCTACCCTGCGTGCTCCCTGTCCCCAGGGTGCCCAGCTCCTTGGTCTTTGCTGGTGGAATGAAGCTACAACTGGAGCACAGATGCCCCTGAGGGCTGTGCCAATTCCAGTGGGTGATGTCATGCCCAGGAGGAGGGGAGGGCCCCCTCAGAAGCTCTTGCCTCCTGGTCCTGGCACCCAAGCCTGGCCTGGGGCTCCCAGCCAGATGGAGGCAGGGAGGTATTGCATCAGCCCAGGGGGAGAGGTGGAAGGCCCAGCCTGGCCCAGCCACAGGTATGGAGGAGCCGTGTGATCCACACCCATGGCCTGGGAGCTTGCCCTGCCTGGGCCCTCGGCATGCTGTGCTGACCGCCACCTCGACCCCACGTTTTACGGGCATCACAGTGGCGTCCCCAGTGGGGCTAGCCCCTGACTAGCACGCGGAGGAATGTGGGCACAGCGGGGCCGTAGGTACACAGCAGGAACTCAAGCTGCAGCGAGGAAGTGGGGAGATGGCCTCCAGTACCCAGCCCTGAGACCAGGGCTCAAGCCAGAGGGTTGGCTGTGGGGCCAGGGTGGCTGTGGCTGGGACACAGGGGCATCAGTGCCCTGGGCTCTCTCCTCCCCCAGCCAGCAGCCTGCCTGACCGTCTCCTTGCTCCTCCTACTGCAGGGGGCTTTGCCACCTTCTCCTCCTGCTTCCCCGGCCTCTGTGAGGGCAAGCCTGCTGCCCTGCTGCCCGTGAGCCTCTCCCAGCCCTGCCTGCCCGTGCCCAGCGTGGGCCTGACCCGCATCCTGCCTCACCTCTACCTGGGCTCTCAGAAGGATGTCCTCAACAAGGTATGTACTCAGGCCAAGGGGGAAGGCAGCGGGGAGGAAGGACGCTGAAGGCCTTGGGGGGTGGATGAGCACGGTTTGGGGTTCTTTGAGGACCCAAGGGGAGCAGCATTCATCACCAGAGCCAGGCTGGGGGAGGGCCCTGCAGGGCAGGGCGAGGAAGTAGCGCCCTGCCCCCTCAGCGGCAGAGCCCACATGCCGAACCGCTGATGTCACTGGGCCCCTGGCCAGCGCTGAAAGAATCCGGTGTTTTAAAAATGGTGACGAGGGAAGAGGGTGAAGCCACTGCCCAGGCTGCCCTAAAATTCCTGGGAGCCAGGCAGGCTGTGGGCGGGGTTGGCAGGGTGGAAATGGGCGGGGCTTCAGGGCCCAGCCCCAAGGCGACTTCTGAGGCTCTGGGATCTGGGCGCTCCAGGTCCCACCAGCTGTGCCCCCTTTCAACCTGCTCCCCTCCTTCCCCCATCCCTCCAGGATCTGATGACCCAAAACGGAATAAGCTATGTCCTCAATGCCAGCAACTCCTGCCCCAAGCCGGACTTCATCTGCGAGAGCCGCTTCATGCGCATCCCCATCAACGACAACTACTGTGAAAAGCTGCTGCCCTGGCTGGACAAGTCCATCGAGTTCATCGGTGAGGGCGGCTCTGCGCCCACTCGGGGTGGTGGGCGGGAGGAGGGGCCGCTCCGGAGAGGCGGCTGCTATTATTAGCGGCAGGGAGGGGTTTTCCTCACCTGGGGGTGGCAGGACTGGCCACTCCTGCACTCACCTGATCCTCACCCCCACCCCCAGATAAAGCCAAGCTGTCCAGCTGCCAAGTCATCGTCCACTGTCTCGCCGGCATCTCCCGCTCCGCCACCATCGCCATCGCTTACATCATGAAGACCATGGGCATGTCCTCTGACGACGCCTACAGGTAGCCAGGCTTCCCTCCGTGATGAGACTGCCTGCCCCTCCTCTCCTCTCTCCACCCAGGAGCATCGAGCATCGGAGTGGCCCAGGGTGCACGGCCAGCTGGCGGGAGGGAACGCCAAGAGGGAAGGCGGGAGGGAGGTCTGAGTCAGCCCCGGCACGTGTGGGTCTGACAGCGGCTGGGTGCCCAGGATGGGCAGTTGGGCCTGGGAGAGATGGGTGCACAGCCGTTCCATGGCCATCCAGGTTTGTGAAGGATGGCACCCATCCATTTCTCGCTCCAGGTTTGTGAAGGACCGGCGCCCATCCATTTCGCCCAACTTCAACTTCCTGGGCCAGCTGCTGGAGTACGAGCGGAGCCTCAAGCTGCTGGCTGCCCTGCAGGGTGATGGGGCGCCCCTCCCCGGGATGCCCGAGCACCTCCCAGGCCCTGCAGCCCCCCTGCCGCCACTGCCACCACCTACCTCAGAGAGTGCTGCCACGGGGAGTGCAGCAGCCAGCTCAGCCAGGGAGGGCAAGCGGGGCACGGGCCGGGAGCCCCCCTCGCCTGCCGCAGCCCCTGCTACCAGCGTGCTGCAGCAGGGCCTGCGCAGCTTGCACCTCTCCTCTGACCGCCTCCAGGACACCAGCCGCCTCAAGCGCTCCTTCTCGCTGGACATCAAGTCAGCCTACACCCCCAGCCAACGACCCGATGGCCCTGGGGCCCCTGACCCTGGCGAGGCCCCCAAGCTCTGCAAGCTGGACAGCCCATCGGGGGTGCTAGGCCTGCCCTCGCCCAGCCCTGACAGCCCAGATGCAGCAACCGAGTTGCGCCCGCGGCCCCGCCGGCGGCTCCGACCTCCAGGGGGCTCCCCCGCCCGCTCACCTGCACATGGCCTCGGCCTGAACTTTGGGGACACTGCCCGGCAGACTCCACGGCACGGCCTCTCAGCCCTGTCGGCGCCCGGGCTGCCTGGCCCAGGCCAGCCGGCCAGCCCTGGGGGCTGGGCACCGCCCCTGGACTCGCCAGGCACACCGTCGCCAGACGGGCTCTGGTGCTTCAGCCCCGAGGGTGCACAGGGGGTGCAGCTTTCGCCCCTCAGCCGGGCCGGCCCACAGGGCACGGGTGGCAGTGATCTGCGACGGCGGGAGGCGGCGAGGGCCGAGTCCCGGGATGCGAGGACCAGCTGGCCTGAGGAGCCAGCCCCAGAGACGCAATTCAAGCGTCGAAGCTGCCAGATGGAGTTCGAGGAGGGCATGGTGGAGGGGCGCGCCCGCAGTGAGGAGCTGGCGGCCCTGGGCAAGCAGGCCAGCTTCTCCGGCAGCGTGGAGGTCATCGAGGTGTCCTGACGGCGGCCAGCATCGGCCCCTCCGTGGGGACCTGGTGCCCCTGAGCCCTGCGCTGCCCTCGGCTGGGCCGCCAGCAGCCGGGCCCAGTATGGATATATATTATATATAATGCAGAGAAAGGTAAATGGTTTTACTGCGATTTTTATCGAGAAGTAAATATTTCGATTTTTTATTTATTGAAGCTGTTCGTTCTGGCAATGGCTTGGCAACAGCGAGGGTGGTCCTCCAAGCTCTATTTTTAGTCTGGTATTGAAACTGAGACACGTTTCTAAGCAATATGAGGCCACCTTTCAGTCACAAGCTGGGTGCCAGGCTCGGGGTCCCCTCCCCGCCAGCCCCACCCTGAGGAAACACTGCTGACCATTGCAAAGAGGCTGCCGAGCTTTCGTGCACTTTTTACTTAAGAAAAAGGGAAAAAAGGAAAAAAAAAAAAAAAAAAAAAAAAACCTTGCCACAAACTGAGCCGCAGAAACTCCCGCCTAACTTCCTGCCCACCCCTCTCCACACCCCCCTCCTTTCTCGGGTTGTGCACCAAAGCCATGGGAGCTATGGTCCAGGAGTCCCTGCTCCCCCTCTGCCAGCCCCAGGCACTGTGTGTTGGTGCCAATGAGGACACCGTCACCACCGTTTCCCCAGGCCCGTGCCTGGCAGGTGCTGACCAGCACTGGGCCTGCCAAGGCTGGGGGCTGGGGTATAGAACAGGGTAGGATTGGTGAAGGGGGCTCTTGAGTGTCAGAGGCAGGGAGTCCCAGAACGGGATGGAGGTGGAGTGCCCCCCACACGCGCCTGAGCCAGGCCCACTTTCAGGGGCTCAGCAAGGCTCTTCAGAGGTTGCCTTCCTCCCCTCTGCACTGACAATGTCCCCGAGCGCCCTCTGGGGTGTCTGGCGAGAGGAGCTGAGCTCCCTGGCCTGCCATGCTGGCTGCACTGGTCAGAGGGCAGATGGGTTTAGGGTCTTACTCTGGGCTCTCCCTCCACCAGCCCGCCCCTGGCCAGACTTGTAAGTCAGGTGCACTGCAGGTGAGGGGCTGTGAGGAGTGGCCACCTTGCCGAGAGAGGGCCATGAGCACCTGTCCAACCCCACGCTTGCAGGGTCGGGGACCTTAGGCGACGCAGGATGTGTCTCTCAAGTCTACCCCGCCCTCACAGGAGCCTCAGAGGAGAGGAACCCCGTGCACACTCCTCTCCCGGAGAGCTCCCCACTCTGAAGCCTCCAGTATCTTCCAAGTGGCGTGCCGGTCCCCACCCAGGCAGAGGGGCTCAGCTGGGCTGGCCTGGGAGTGAGGGCAGGAGAAAAGGCCCAGCCACCTGGCCCCACACCCACTGGGGTTATTGGGACCCAAGGTGTTTAGAATAGATGTCCCCCAATCTTAGAAGTCCTATGGTCCAGGATGTGGATGGAGCTGGCCCCCTAGGGAAGCTGGCAGGAGGGGTGGCCCCGGCAGGACTGAGTCCCACCCCCAACTGCCCCTCTGGCTGTTTCTATTTGTTCTTCTTTGGACTCACAACCCCGTGTCCCTGTCATGCCTCCCTTAAGCAGAAGTCCTGTTCCTGCTCTCTGTCCCCCCCGTTCCCCAAGAAATAAGCTATCATTGTTGTATTTGCAATCTATGGATTAGAGGTTTAAGTATTTATTAATATTGGTTAATTATTATTATTATTGATTATGTAAATTGCCTCCTGTTTGTCTGTTGTGTTGGGTTTCTGAGGTGACACTAGGCGGAGTGCTGTCCAGGAGATAGTGGTCCGGGCCACTCATGGCCCAGCACTCTGGAGACAGGTCCCATGGGGAGCAGGCAGGGGTGATCTTGCTCTTGAGGCACTGGTCACCCCAAAAGGAGCAGCTGCAACCAGAAGGTCCCCTTTATGTGCTGGGGGCCCCTCCCTGGTCATTTCTACTCCCTGTCCCGGGCAGGGAGGGGTGGGCCTCAATCCTCTCCAAGTCTCCTTTAGCTCTCTACCCTCCTGCCCACCCCCCACCCCACGCTCTGGTCTTGGGGTGGCCCTAGAATGGATCGGCCCCCTCCTATTATTTGCTGGGAAGTCCAGTGGAGGAGAGGTGGCAGGTTTCCCCCACTACACAGCTCCAGTCTCTCTGGACTGGGCTGCCCGGGACCCTCCCCCAGTGCGGCCACACGCTCTGCTCCCCTCCTGCCCCTCTTTTGTATTTGGGAAAACTGTGTTGTAATAAATCCTGATGGATGTTTTCTCCACGCATCTGCTGCCTCTTTCTTCAGGTTGGGAGGGCGGGGAGGAGTCCTGGAGGCCCCTCTGAGGCCAGGAGGTCATGATGTCGGGCCTGCAAAGCTGGACTGCCCAAACCCGGAGGGCAGAGGGCAGAGGGCAGGGCAGGTGGGGGTGGGGGGAAGGCATCACTGAGGAGGTCCGGTGTGGAACCCTTTCTGTTATGAGCTAGTGAGAACTTGGGTAACTTAGAACCATGTGAAATGAAAACTCAACTCCTTCCTCTGCCCCTAGTCCTCTCCTGGAGTCATCCAGGACTAACTGGATGACAGCCTCCTGGGTCCCGTGTGGGTGGGCCCACATGTGCACATACCTACGATGGCGCTTCCTTCTCATCAGAAATGGGGTCCAGGCCAAAACTGGTTTGGCTCAGTGGATAGAGCGTTGACCTGCGGACTGAAAGGTCCCAGGTTTGATTCCCGTCAAGGGCATGTACCTTGGTTGCAGGCACATCCCCAGTAGGGGGTGTGCAGGAGACAGCTGGTCAATATTTCTCTCTCATCGATGTTTCTAGTTCTCTATCCCTCTCCCTTCCTCTCTGTAAAAATTCAATAAAATAAATTTTAAAAAAAAGAAATGGGGTTCAGCTATGAAGAGTGTCTGCAGGCAGCTTTGCCTTTTAAATATCACGGAAATGATTTGTTGGAATAATAGGTTCACATGGTGCAAGGACCTCTGGTGTCACCACCACCCTTGGGCCCCCACTGGATTCCGTCCCCTGGAGTCCACCCTCGGACCTCCCTGCCCCTCGCAGGCGCCAGGCAGCAGAGGCTGCAGGCTGTGTGGTGTGTGTGATCCTAAGGGACTCACAGGGGAGGCTTTAAACAGGCTGACCTGGGTCCCTCCCAATTTTGCCTGGCAGTTACCATAGCCCAGCCCTGCTGCTGGACACCCACCATCTACCAGGCACCTCACTAGGCATTTCCTAGGCAGCTCCAAACAGGCCTGTGCCCCCGACCCCATGGTCCTGTGGCAAGTACCATACAAGACCCACGGGGGCCTGACCTTGGAGGTTTGGCCTGCTTCTCTGTGACACCAGTGACACCGGCTAGACCTGTGTGGCTGTGTGTGCATGTAAGTGCACGGGTGGGTGTGTCCACATACACGAGTGGGGGCTATGGAAGGAGCTGGGGTCCTTGAATCCTGCACCCTTGAGAGTTCTGAAAGAGGCCGAAAGCTAGAATCATGGGCTGGCACTCCAGCAAGGCTATTTTTAGCTGAAGAACATCTATTTATAACTCTGGCAGCCCCTTGGAGTCAATAAAAGGAGGACTGGAAAAAGCGGGTATTGTCACAAGCAGTGTAAGGTGCTCCCCCACCTCTCATGCTCCTGAGCCCCTGCAGCTGGGGAGGGAGGGTTGGGGGGGCTTGACCCATGGGGTACAGATGGCCTTGGACCCTGAGGTAGTGAAAGACTGGATGGGGGTGGGGATCACTGACCAAGTGGGCCAGCCTGAACCAAGCAGGTAGTGAGGCAAGATTTGAACCCTGTGATCTGGCCTGCACCTGCTCCGGCCCCCACACTGTCCTAGAGGGACAGCAGGTCTCCTAAACCCTGGGCACTTCTGTATCTGTCTCTGTGTCTACCCAGCTCTGGGCCAAGAACTGTAGATAATTGCGGGTTCTGGGTGGTGGGTAGAGGGTGGGTATGGGGTGGTGTTGTGTGGGTCTCGGCCTGTCCATGGTGATGCTATTCTATTGGTTAGGATACCTGGGTCACTCACCTGAGCTCCCCTCACAGATCAGAGCCAGGACTGTGGTCGGCCCAGCCCTGTGTTCTTACTATGATCGAATGACACATCTCAGCACCAACCATCAGGGAGGTCTGAAAACACGGGATGTGTTAGTCAGTTCCTGGAGGGTCCGCCTCATGCCCAAGGCCACGTGGCGAGGTATAGGGGCAGATGGATGGGGCTCTGCCTTTGCTGGGGCAAGGGTGGGTGCCTAGGGTTTTGAGGAAGTTCAGGGATGAGGTGGTTGATATAGTGGACAATGTGTTTATGGGTGATCCATGCCTTTGAGATAGATGCCTCAGCCACCGAAAGCTGCAGTGCAGGTGCTTACCTTACAATCAACAAAGCCAGTGTCAGACACTTAGGACTAATGGGTAGGTGAATGGGTGGGTGTGAGGGTGGGTGGGTAGGTGATTGGATGTGAAGGAGAGTGAGTAGATGGATGGATGGGTGGGTGGGTAAGTGGTTGGGTAGATGGCTGGTTAAGGAGTGGATGAATGAATGGGGTATATAAATGAGTGGGTGAGCAAACTGATGGATGGGGTGGGTAGGTAGATGAATGTATAGATGAGTGGTTAGGTGGATAGATGATGAATGGATGGATGGATTGATGGGTGATGGGTTAGTAGGTGGATAGTTAGATAGGAAATGGGTAAGTTCATGGATAGGAGGTGGATTGATTGGTAGGAGGTAAGGTGGGTAGGTGGATGGATGGGTGGTGAGATGGATAGTAGGGTGGGTGGTAGGGTGGGTAGGTGGGTGGCAGGTTAGGTAGTTGCTGGGTGGATGCGGGGGGAGCAAGGTGGGTAGGAAATGATGAGGCGGTGAATGGGAGAAAGGCAGGGAGGGAGAGAAGGTGGGTGAATAGTAATGTTTAACACTCGGCTAGTCTCCTTATATTTAAGCTAAGTGCTTACCTACAGGATCCCAATGGACAAGAGAAAGCCACTGGTCCTTGCCGATAGGAGGCGCCCAATGAATACTTAATGAATAATCCAAAACCCATTGGTCTCAGAGTTAGAC